TAAACAATAACCACCAAATCTTTCTTCTTTATTATTATATTATGTATATTAATTTATATTGTTAATAAGAAACCTCTCAGCGGGTTAAAGTATGTTAATTCAGGTTGTGAACTATATATTTAGATATAAAGGGTATTTTTAATCATAATTAGTCGAATATACAAGTGCCGTAAATATGGTCAAATAATACTCGCGTAAAAAGGTAAATTTACACATCTAATAATGTTATAGTGAAACACTCGTAGATTGATTTAGCATTAGATCATATAATCCACTGGAATAGAATTTTATTTACAGCTATGGTGTAATCTGCTACATTAATTTGTTTACCGTGGATAAATGTTCCCATGGGAACGTCAGAATTAAAATATTTTATGAAAATCACATACAAATATTTTAATTTGAAAATGCAAACATTTAATTATATTATATTGTAAAATCTAGTTTTGCGATCGATAACATGTACGTGATTTGAGTATAAATTTATTAGAGGGAAAGACAAAGCTTGTTCTGTACAGTATTACTTTATAAACACACATTTACATTTGCTATAGAGCAGAGCCCTTATTCACATTACGGAAAATTTATCGCAATAATTTAAGTAAATTTTTTATTCAAATTACTTGATTTAAAACTTTATGAATATATTATATACTTGTGATTTTGTTATAGAATAGTTGACTTAGGATAATGTATGTAATGTAGGTAATAAGTGAAAAAAATACTCACCTGCTTCAGTTGTAAAAATAACACCAACTATCAGCAACAAACATATCGTAACACGAGCCATTTTTATTATTGGTAGAGCTGTTACTTACACGACTGAGGCAAGTTTGAGTGAAGCCTAATTTATATGAGAGCACTCAGTCTTATTTAATTTAGCGTCTACTTGAGAATTTTCACAGATTTTCAACGCCGGATAGAGTTAAATATAACTTAAAAACCATATTCAGAAAACATCAAGCGCTATCATATGTATTTCATAATAGTGCTACTATAAAAAACATTTATGCGTACTAAAGGAATATTCGTTTATTTATAAGCTAATAGATTAGCTTATTGTATTCTAATCAACAAACAACTTTTCATTTGATACGCATGTGGTTTCACCATGGAATTATAATTACCATTGTGTTGCGTTGGACATACTTATTGAATTTAAAATATGAGTATTTTAACTGATTTCGTATTGTAAAATAATATACTTATGTAACAGGGAAATACACAAATACAGAGATTTGATCCTTAGGCATATAAATAAACAAAAAGAAATTATATTTAAAAAAAATCCTTATTACCAATTGGCGGTTTTGGCTTATTATTTAACGGAGAGCTTGTTTGATTCGGCATATGAATCTATTGACGAATGAATATATATTATGATGGTAAGTGCCATATTCTAATGAAGTCATATTTCAATTTTGAATATTTCTGTATGAAATAAAACAGGAAGATTAAAAGCAACCCTTGCCAGTTCTTCTCGGTACAATGTGCAAGGTTTCCCGTGGTAGATTTATAAACCGACGACATAGAGTTTCGACTTGAAGTGCTTGCCTAGACTGAATAACTGATTTTGGTTGGATTTGATACCTATTCGTGAAACTATGCGAACAATTTTTTTTATATTAAAAAGCTACTATTGATTTATCACATGGCAATTGAAGGTCGTATGATGTTTGTCGTCTTGTGGTAGATAATTGACCACAAGCAGCAGCACAAGCCTATTATTTACACGTTAGTGGTGTGACATCATGATAAGATCAGTAACATTTATAAACAAAATTAATACGGAATATATCACATTCGGTATAAGAAAACCCCCGGAAAACGTGAAATATTGAAATTTAAATACAAATGTGTCAAGATTGACCTTGAAATCTTCACGTTTCAGCAAGCGTTATGGCTAATGTCATTTAGCCATTGTATTTAAATTTCAATATTTTTATCATTGCTCGTAATTATCAGTGAAAAGTTAAAAAAAAAATGCTTTCCTGGGTTTTAAACGAAGCACGAGTTACACAGAGAGAGAAACAAAAAAGATATCATTTCATGCATCACTTTCGTACTTCTAAGTACTGTACTTTCTTTTTTATTTAAATAATAACAATAAATCGTCATTAAACGCGGCCAGTTTTCCGTGCATTTCCGCCAATGAGGGTGAAGCAGTTGACATAATAAAGCAAATAGTAAAGTATTTATCAATAAAGTTTACACTGTTTTGTACGGATATGACGTGTCTAATAATATTTATGTAACGTTATTGCCCAAAATCGATTACTTTATTAGACGGAGCATTTATCAATGATAACACTGGTCAACCCTCAAAAATTTAACAGGTTTTTTTTGGTTTAATTAAGTGTGCAGGTTACGAAAATATCACTGTTATTAACCTCCAACGCAAATAGAGGGGTGTTATAAGTTTGATATGTGTATGTGTGTTTTAGTGTATGTATGTGGCATCATAGCTCTAAAAAGAGTGAACCGATTTACTTACTTAGTATTTACTTAATACAAGCCAAGAAAATTTGGTTCAATCTTTATTATTTACAATTGATAGTATAGGTACTACAAAAGGTCTTTGATTAGTAAGTATTGGCCTTTACAATAAACTGATGTGATGCTTTTTGTACTTATAATAATAATTAAAATTGCTATAGAATATTTTTTGATTTCTGTCAGGAAATGGTCTGAGAACCGACCTCTGTGAAACTTCGCCCGCCATAGCCCTGGCTATTACACTTCTTCCCCTTGTTTTTGATACGTGACCGTTCTACCCTCCAGGTAGTTTTCTACCACAGCTCTGATATACCGAGGCAACCGGTAGTATACGAGTGCGTCCCGAATACATGGGAAGAGGAGGGAGTCAAAAACATCGCTTATGTCCAGGGACACAGCAATGACTTCTCACCGCCGCATCTGTCAGCTTGCATAGCTCCAACAAGGCGTCGATTGTTCTCCTGAGCTACAGATGTTGAACGATACGGTCGGCTATTATGCGCTCCAGAATTTTTCCCGTCTCGTCCAATAAGACAATCGGGCGATACGCCGAAAAAGCGTCAGTTGATTTCCCCTTCTTGCGCAAGAGGCACAGCCTGCCATTTTTCTACGGCGACGGAAAGGCACCCTCCATAAGGCATTTATTATCCTCAAGGTGCATTCCTAGGAATCGGTGCATCATTGGGTATACTTGTCCATGCACGCCGTCTGGGCCTGGCGCCTTTTTCTTTCTCCTAAGCCGGTCCACTGCGTCCTTTGGCTTTTCTGGAGTGATCGGCGGAACCCCCCTACTCTTTTTCGGTAGCTGTTCCGGGAGAACTATCCTGGGTTGAAGGTCAGGAGTCTCCGCCGGGAGGAGCATGGACACAATCCGCTCTAGAAGGATCGGATCAAGTTCATCCGTTGGGGGTGATTGGCGTTTCAAGCGATTCGAACCGACGTACCCATGGATGCCATTCCAGCTTTCCGAGAAACTCTTGCCAGGCTTTGGATATTAGAGTTGCCGATTTCTGTTTCCAAAACCTTCTTACTCTCGTGATATGTTAAGCGGAGCGCATCCTCTTCTCCATGGACGTTGATCGCCAACAGTAACAAGGAGTCTTTCATTTTTTCCAAAATAAATAAACCCTAAATATATGTTATAAAAATTTCGTACGTCTGTAAATGTTATTTACCGTCTCGTTTAAGGTACATAATGTACAACTCACACAGGGACTCTCTGAGTGATGTGAAGTATCCTGTTTATACACTGTTTTTTGCACTGTTCCTTCCAGTGGCTGCAATCATATATCTCGAGGTTTGACTTTTGAGGATATATAACAGTAATCAATAAATATAGAATATTTAAATATTCTTTTTACACTTTTTCTGTCTTTATAAAACGACGTCCATACAAAAATCAATACTTTTTCTAAATCTTAATAAAGTAATAACTTGTATATTTTCTCTAATCAAGAGGTTAAGGCAAATTATTATAATGACAACAACACTGAGTGCGCCCTATGTGCAGATTATTTTATAAAAAAATGCTGAAGATTAGGAATTAATGTAAAAGTCTGGTTAAAAGCAGTAATCCATTATTTGTTTTTTAATATAAATCTATTTCTGTTTGCTACTTACAGCGTAATAATGCCAAAATCACATATTTACGATAAGTCATTAATACGGTGTTTTTTCGCAGCGTCTGCTGCAGCTAAGTACATCATACCCAAATACGCTTCACTACACATTAACTAAAGTAGTCTTTCCTCAACGAAATACTTTATTAAATACTAAAAATCATCAGTATCAAAATACGAAAAAGCCGGAGCCAATGATAAACAAATGAAAGAGTAAAGTGAGTCAAATACTTTTATACCCTTTGTTTGTCAAACTATAAAAGCGTTGATCGAAGCTTAGATAGTAATTGTTCTTCTTCTTCTTTTTTAATTAATAGCTTATCTGCGCATTTCGCACAATTCTGCCAATGTCAAGTAAATAAATAAATTTTTACATGTAAAATGAAAATGAAATGAATGAAAGATGGCGATGATAAAAAACGCGTTAGTAATTATTCTTAGGATCGCAGATTGTCACACTTTCATAGTTTGACAAAGGTGACAATGTTAAAATGGGTTAGGTACGCGAAGACGTCGTTATTATGACTAAACTCTTTCTTACATATAACATAAATACATCTCCTAGCAAATAATGACGTCATCGTTGTCTATTCATAGTGTTTGTGATCCAAAATAAAAATGAAATGAATAGCGATGAATATATCCGAAATCTACTGTCACCAAATAAAACATATGAGTTGACATAGTTGCAAAGAGAATAAAAAACTCCTTGATATTTCTGTTCAGTTGCGTGTCGTCGCGTGTCAGTATAGCGAATTGATATGCATTAAAGTCCATATAAAAAAAAATCGTCATTATTATTATATAAGATTTTGTTTATAATTGTGAAATAAAAGAAAACACCAATTTATTGTTGAAGCGTCGTATATTGTTCATGTTGTTGTCATGCAAGTACACGAAGAAGAAACAAAAAAAATTGTTCGTAGTAAATTCCAGAGGCATGCTGTTGCGCTCTTTTGGAAATGCTATTTGCAAAGACAGTGAGTGTTTTTGTGCGATTATATTCGTTTTCTATTTATTGATGAGGAAAATACTGTTTTGAGTACCAAAATAATATTGGATGCGCTTAAAATGCGTTTTTGTAGGCACCAAAATGCACAAGCAAAGAGTGATTTTATGACTTTTTAGTAATTTTGTTTATTAAATATATCTTAAAAAACAAAGTGCTCTTCGTTGCTTAGCACGTCACTATATTCGACTTATAACAATTTTCTTTTAATAATTAGTTATTCAAAAGTAAAATATTTATCTGTGTGAATTTCAGAAGACGTTGGCGCCTCCTGATCGCGGAGACCGTCTTTGCCGCTATTTTGCTAATTATAGCGGTGTTCATAGCCAAGCCTGTGTTCTTAACCCCCGTCGAGTCAGAGTTGGAACCCCCCTTGGCCTCCGCTGATCTCCTTGCTTCCCTTCATACCAAGAACATCCTGGGCTATGCTCCTAACTCTGGTCCTTTCGTCACTATAATGTCAAGAGCGGCTGAGCTCTTGCAAACTGGTAATCGAAGAACCAAAACCCAATTTTGTAGCAACTGGAAAAATTTGGGCTGAGAAATTATATGGATAGTTAAATCCTACATAATGCTAAGAAGATACATTAAGTTACTTCACACGATTCCAAAACATTAGTTATGAAGCTAGGCCTGTAGTAGTTGAAACCATTTCCCGGTCAGATTTCAATATAAAGCTTCGCTTTCCAACGTTAAATACGCTCTAATTGAAAGGAATGAATATTGCGATTTAATCAAGTACCTATAATATCGTTTTTTCTTGTAGAAATGATGACAGCTGCGAGCGAGGATGACCTGATAAACAACCTGTATATACTATCAGAGGGCAGTCCTCTAACCAATCCTGTTATTTTTGTGATCTGGAAACCAAAGGTTCGCCACTATATACGATACCTATAAAGAGGAAAAATAAGATTGTTTGTTTGTTTGCATTGAATAGACTGTGAAACTATTTAAAAACTCTTTCACCTACGCTAAGAGTCAAACTCCAGTAATAGCTATAATTTATGCGTGCGAAGTGGCAGGAAAAAGGTATAGTTACTAATAAATTTAATTTAATTTGATTAGCCAAATGTGCTGTCAGGCACAAAACTTTTTAATTTACTGTATGTACGTCTCCACGGGTGCGACTGATAGAGGATTCCTTTTTGTTCCTTAACTGTATTATAGGCAATTGAGATGAAATAAAATATACTCGAGAACATTATCAACAATCGCACATAGGCCACTGCTGAGCATAGACCATGAATCTCAACGACAATAGGTCCTGCGCTGTTCGCATCTAATAACTCACTTAGTTGGTGGCCTTTCTATTATTGAGTGGGATTCGGTGCCTGGTTATCATTACAGAACCTTAGCATTTTGACGGCCATCAATAGTTCTCGTTATGTGCGCAACTATTGCTATTTGAGCTGAACAATCTTTCGAGCGATATTAGTTAACTTTCTACTACAATAAATAGTTGAATCGTTCCTTTTCATTGATTCAACCAGGAATCAAATGGAGGCCTCCTCGGCATCACTTTTCTAACTCGTTTGTACGACCTATAGGTGAACAATGTTTGGAAGTTTAGCATTCGAAGCACGGAAAGAGCTCGGCACACCAGCGCCGGTGACGTCTACCATCCCAACCCTCACCTGCGGGCGGGGTTTCTGGCCGTGCAGGTGGCTGTCAGCCAGGCCATCATAGAATACTCCAGTCCTGGTGCACCCCAATTCGAGGTCTTTATAAAATTTATTTAACATATTGTATGATCTTTATTGAATAGTTCAAATTGTAAATTATTGCAGAGATATAATACTTGCAGAGAACTCCAATATTAAATAAGTAGCTATTTTATTTTGTAGTCAATATCTGAAGATGACTAATGAGAGAATTGGTAGTGCTTTGAGGTAATACCGATAGCAGGGAAATTCTGAGAACGCTTTCAAAAAAAATCAGGCAATCAACTGTTGATAAAGTTGACAAATAAAAAACTTTGAATAGATGAAAATACTTGAAATTAGATAGAACAAACATATTGCTTTGTTTAATGTCATTTTCGGAATTTCCTCACATCCGTGATTACACAAAAGCACTTATACAATTAGTTTTTTTAAGAAGTGGGGTGAATATAATTATTTTTATCCAGAACAGATAATTACAATATATATATATACTTATATAAATTATTTGCAACTGCCCGCTACCGAATAAATCCCGGCCAAGCGACCGCCACTTTACCGTATGGTTAATACTTATAACATATTATTTCAAGTCATATTTAAAAAATGTGACTTGAATACTCCCTTAAACACATAATAGTTCGGAATTTTAAAACTGTCATCTCACAAGGATTGTAAAAATCAATCTAAGTTTATAGCAACCAAATCAAGCAATTAAAATAATTTAGTATATAATTTTACTTTCAACTCTATTTAAAATGGTCACTATTTACTCTAATAAATAAAAAAAATACGGAGAAGAACACTAGAAAACAGTCAATCAAGCTTAGAGGCACTCGCCTAACTCTCTAGCCATGATAGCCATTGGATGCGACATCTTAGCGATGTTATGGAGATATATTATTTAATTTTAATACTTTGACATTTACTCAAATAACGAGAAACAAATGATAAAGCATGATGATTATGGCAGGTTTGACTACAATGTTACAAAGTTACGCCCAGTCGTACAAATGTACAATAAAAAAATGATTAGGCACTATATGTCTTGCAACTGGGTGCAGGCCCGGATCAAGGGCGGGGGTTGTGAATGGAGGCACTTGCTCCGGGCGCCAGTGTTAGGGGGGCGCCAAAACTTTGCACTACAAAAGTAATATAAAAGCCGGCCTTATGAAGTATAGGAGGAACGGGGTTAGAAATAGGGCACTATACGAAGTTTGCTAGGTGTTAGTATGTTAGATATCAAAAGATATGTGAAAGTAATAAAATTGACGAAATGACGACATATTAACGTTAAGATGTCTTCTCATATGGCTGGAGACACATCTCTGGAAAATCGAATGAAAAATTTGCTAGGCGAGGTATTTCATAATAAAAAGACATACGTACATTTCTTGAAATATATGAATGTAAAATAGTATTGGCATTTGTTGAGTTTCCAAATATAGAAAAAAATAATAAAAATAGATATTGTGTGTCCCTAGTAATAACAATGTATTATAGGTAATACTTATATCATCTTGTAAATGTAATATTATTTGTTGAATTTGAATGAATGAAAGACTTTATTGTACACACCATAAATAAATGAATAGTGCATAATAATGTAACAGACAGTGCAGTTGGCGGCCTTATTGCTAAAAAGCAATTTCTTCCAGGCAACCTTAACATAATATACAGGATACAATTGAAAAATTGGTTAGTCTATTCTATAGTGCATTACGAAGTCCCTATTATTAAGGAACAAGTTGATGGTTAAGCAGATACTTTGTATATAAATACATAGCACACATAGACACGTATACACACACAAATATATAAATACATATATAACATATATATAAACACTTAAGAATGTCAAGGATTACGATTGCTGCAATAAATTTAGTGATAGATGCTCCTTAATTAATATTTTAAAACTGTTTACGATTGGTGCACGTCTAATATCCTCTAGCAATGCATTCCAGAGGCGAGCAGCTTGTACTGTAAAAGACTTGTCCAGAAATTACTTGAATACATTGGTATTGCTAATCTCAGATTCTCCGAAGACCTTAAAACTCGCGTGGCGTATCGTGAAAGAACGTGAAGCGTTCCTTGAGGTAAACTGGTGAAAATTGATTGAACAGAATACTATAAATTAAATTGAAAACAATATAATTTATCGAGATGTACTTTGACCGGTAGTTCCCCCATCATACTATCGTTCTTATCTTATTATATTAAAATAAAAAATATGTGTATTATATTGTAGTGTGGTTTTTCGGCATATTGATCCAAAATCATTGCATTTTAAAGAAAACGTTCGTCGTGTCTGTAGGTATATAAACTCACTAACTTTGAATTTTATGTACTAAAGTTTTCTTTTACCCATGTTTAGCGAAATTATTAGCAATTTTGTGGTATACCTCGATTTCTATAGTCTAAATTAGCTGAAATATAAAGCTATTTATATTTGAAAAGAGTAATGAAAGTGGATGAGGCGAAAGATGTACTTATGTAAGGACCGTTTTCTCTGTCTGCCACAAAGATTTTTAAAATATCTATGCAGACTGAAGGTAGGATACGTAAACATAGGTATATTATAGTAATTGAATGCTTCATGCGAAGTAGGGATTGGTCGCTAGTGGTATTATTTTATAAAAATGAGAGTAAAGGAAATATTCTTTTTATTAATAAGTTAAGATACATAATTTGCTATAAGTAATGACAATCTCACAGATATGACTCTCAGCATGAGAAATAATAGAGTGAATCAAGCGCAGATCACTTTTTGTATTAAAAATCTTACGTTTCTTTACGAAAATTGATTGTATAAATAATACAAATTTTGACACATAAAACAAAAACGTTAGCTTTAAAAAAAAGGCACTGCCGAAACCCGGGATTGAACCGGGGACCTTTAGATCTTCAGTCTAACGCTCTCCCAACTGAGCTATTTCGGCGGTAAGAAGCGATTTGAAATTATCGATTAGCTTACATTATCAGTAATCATATAAAATTAACATAATCATTCAAAATATGTTCCATGATTTTATATTACGTGAATTTATTTCTTTATTTTGTTTTTATTTTGCTTGCGGGGTCTGCTGATAAATTTTGTTGCGCCCGAATACTCATTTCAGTTATTTTGATATAGAATGAAAACTATCTAACCGATATACGCGTCGAACAAACTTGTGTATTTCGTCGGATAATTTTTTATCTTAAATGGAATTGAAATAATGAAATTGTTTCTTATGAAACATATATCTCATGACTTGTCTCCAGGTGAGCCTCGTTTCGATGCCGGGGTCACCGCTCATGCAGGAGTACCAGGTGCGGCAGGCCACATCTGGAATACTGCTGTGTATCACGCTGGCGCTGATTCCGCCAGTGTTGGAGGCTCAAGCACTTGTCGTATACGAAACTGTATGCGGACTAAAGGTCTGTATTTAATATTTCATGGCATGCTTTGTATCAGTGCAGGGGTTTATTCATATTTATTTATTTTCACGTCACCGAAATATAAACCGTGGATTTATTATAAAAAAACTATTAAAAATTACACCATGTTTCCTCATAAAGTTCTACCGTACTCCTGTGAATCCTAGCTAGCTAAACTTTGGCAATAAATAAGATATATAGTAGGTTATATGTGTCGTAATTGTATTATTTATCTGTATTGATCATGTTCAAAAACTAAGTTTTCTCTTAATGTTACTTTGTGATGTCTATTTACAATGATGATAACTGGAAAAATGCCTATTTTCATAAAAAATAACTAGTATTCTTTTTAAATATCTTTTTTTGTGATTAGCAACGCTCGATACTACTCAAGTATATCATTAAATGTCAAAAGCTTTTAAATTATTATCTTAGGTATGTGATTCAACGGACTTTGTAAAGTATTCCATGTATTTAGTTCAAAAACTTAATTTCTCTGTTTTTGTCTCAATGATTCTAGAACAAATGTAATAAATAAAAAAACGTTAACCTATTTATAATTTCACGGTATGAATTTCACATTTTCTTAAAAACATCCTATCAAAGTCTGAGTCTAAACAATCTTTATTAAAATAGACTTCTTAAAAGTACTTTTGAATCGTCCAACATTTAATTCCCTTACACTAGTTCAAGACGTCTTTTGGCTGATATGAAGAACGAGCAAAAACTCACCAGCTCTAATGAAAGTAACGACATTATCCTATTCCAGCGAGGTTTCAGAATTCGCCACGTAGACTTTTCGACGCAATACATAGCATGGCTCATGTACGCGTACTTGACCGCGTTGCCTATATGCCTGCTCGTGTCCTTCGCCCTGATCCTCATCTACCGCTGGATCCACTTGCTGTCCGCTCTCATGATCATTTTCGCTTACGTCTCCGTCATGATAACTATTGCGCTCATCATGGCTATGTTCAATAGTACAGGTTTGTTGACACGTTTGTTGATACGGCATCTTAGCGATTTTATGTGGATATTTAAACGATTAATTGATAATACTGCTATTAAAACGATAATCATCACTCTTTAGCATTAGTTTGTCGTCAGTAAGTATCCTTAACCATCTATAGGGAAGGCCTAAGCCCACCTGGGCATCTGCAGTGGGGACGTAACAGGGCTGATGATGATGGTGATGTTTGAATTATGATGTCAAATTATACCTAATTGTAAGCATGTGATCTTGATTTGTTTTCTGTTGCTGTACCAAAAGAAAATAAAAAAAAAATGTAAAATATTGCCATTACACTCTATGTTCAAGATGTCTAATATTCTAGAGTTATGACTTGAAAGTTAGGCGGTGCATCCCAGACTTTCACATTAGTAGAATCGAAAGCTGATATAGGTGTAGTAAAGATGTCGCAGAATGAGCCGTCGCAAATAATTCTATTCAGTTATTAAGTACCTTCTTTCCTCTTTTTTACACGTATATTGATTTCAAGACAATTATAATTGTGATTTTAGAATACAATATTTTTCTTTCATAACCTGCAAACTACAGCTTGGATCGCATGTCTGTGGACGATATTATTTACGATGCTGAATACATTTTTGGCGGAAATGCTGGTGCATCACCAATACGATCAGAAACACAAAGCACTCACCTTCATGTTGCATCTAGTGTTACCTCCTTTGGGGCTCGTGAGCGCGCTCAACGAGTTTGCCGTACTTCAGACAGGACGTTCGTAATTTTGCGTAGATATTTAAACTTTTCCATTTGTTTCCTAAACTCTGCCTTTTAAGGCTCTTTATTACAGTTCATTTAAAATTTAGTTATTTCAACTGCTCATCTTTGTCTGGTTCGTTATGTTATCTTTACTTGTCTGCTAAAAATTATTCTATGGAAAAGAAGTGGGATCACTAAAATACTTTATATTTACAAGATTATTTTTAATTTTTCACATAGGCACTTCAAGAATTTTAATTATCTGTTCAGATTAATTTGAAACAATTTATATATAATTGACCCTTGTTGTTTCAGGAGGTTCAGTACTTGACACTCAACCTTCGTTATATTACACTATACTATCATGGGGCGCTATGAATTTGCTCTATTTTGCCATTCTGATGATATTGCAGCGGACGGTGAGAGACAGAGCTATCGGTGGGCCTGTCTCCTGGAAATCGATAGTTTTCAAGAAAGCAGAGGTTTTGATTTTAAAATTGTATAAGCAATCAACATCTTATTTTTATGACCACGAAGCCAGCGAAGTATCCGAAAAATCTTAGAAATGTAAAAAAATACTAATATTTCATGCGTCAAAACAGTTGTTTATGCATTAAAAATTATTTTACACAGGCATAATTTTATTAAAACAAAAACACTCTTAAATAAATTCTACTATTTTCAGAGTCAATTACCATAGTATTTACATAATGTTATTGATTTAATATATTTTTACTAATATTTTTAAAGAATACTAGCAAATTACGACCTATAAAAACACCAACTGGCCGTGAACGGGCAATGTTGCAAGAAGTGGACGAACTAGTAGCAAAAGCAATTAGTTTTCGTAGTTGTTCAAAGGTAAATGACGTTTTCTTAATAAATTTTTATATTATTATTTATGTTGTACAAATACATGACAAAAGCATACATGACAAGATATATCATGAAATAGAGTTCTATGTAATACTATGAGAGGATACTAATCAACGAACAACGATAAAAGGTCATTCACTTAACTACCAATATTTTGGAATTCAGTCTACTCATAATCTGAGCGCTGAATTATAATATCAACTGTTTCAGACCATAATGAACGTGCCTATTCTGAGTGACGTAACATTGGATATATATCGTGGAGAATTCACTATACTATTCGCACAACGCATCCAGGAGAAAATGATTGTCACCATCGAAGACTTGCTCACAGGTTCTTTAATATACAGTTTGACATTTTAAGTTTTGTATTACGAAGTCGCTGTAAATTTTCTTGCGCCCTTACTCTATCATCAATGGTCTTAGGCTTGACGTCTCCCGATGAAGGCACAATCACGGTACTCGGGCATACCGTCACGCCAGATAGGAGCTTCATGTCCATGCAGTACATGATGGGCTATTGTCATGATCCTAATTTCCTTATTGAGGACTTAACAGTGGAGGAACATTTAATCTTGTTTACAGAGGTGTGTATTAATATTTCGTGACAATACAATAAATTGAAAATGAAATGGTTACTTTATTTGTTTCTGAGATCCAGAAATCAAAATCTACTTCAAACACTAAAATTTTTAAAATTAATGTAAAATATAAAGATTGTCTGAGCTGGTTACAGTTACTTGGCTGATTTTAGCACAATTTTATTCCCTATTTCTTCAGTTATACCTATGAATATAGTGGGATCCATATATGTCTATTTAAAGAAACTTTTACTGATACTCTGGGATATCATTTAAGTACGAAATAACTCACACAAGACACAAGTGGCCATGTTGTAAAAAGCAGTTTCACGATTGTTCTTCAGATCTGCCTGTGGTACGAGTCCACCCAATACTGGACGGAGTACCTTGAGATCCGCACTAAAAGACTGTACAGCGAATGTGACCTAGAATCCGTGCGGCATATGCAAGTGTGGAATCTCGGTGCGTACTACCGCGCGCAGCTTTGCTGGGCTATCGCACTTCTCATAGAACCAAGGGTAAACACACGCAATGTTTGCTGTTATAAATAAATACAGACTATCCCAAATTAAGTTGCTAAAGCCCTTACGTTATAAGAAGGTGAAATAACAATGACACCATAACCGTCCAATTCCAAATGCAAGATAATACATATAGGAAAGTCAATTTTCCATAGAAGCACCCAGCATCGAATAGACCGGGGCCTTAATGAGGATTATTAGTGACGTTTTGAAACCGAATACCGGACTACGTAACAACGCATTCGGAGTACTTCTTATTCACTCGATATTATAACCTACACATGTAGTGTAAAGTCTAAAGGTTCAAGATAATGTTCAAACGGTTCCCTATCCTATTGCATACAATTTTTAGGCATAATAATATAGTATATTTTTAATTATATTAATTACTTATATTTACACATTAACAACTTACACATCATTTATTTGTTTATAGGTATTATTAGGAGTATAAACATTATGCAAAATGGGATCCTTTTTCAAACATTAATTTTATTGAAAGTACGGTTTTTTTTTTCAGATAATATTTATACCAAATAAAACAGATGATCCAATTTACAATAAAGTCATAAGGGATAAGATCATGGTAAGAAATTTTACCTTTACAAAATAATTTAGAACAGTATCTCCCAATTCCATAAACGTCCATTAAAATTTTCATAAGTTTAAAGTGACATGAACAACAGATCTATACGAATTTTCAAATTGAGAGCGCTCGTTAGAAAAGAGCTTAAAGTTGTCATTAAATCTTATTGGATATTTGTGGTACTACGCCAGCCGGATTAGGTAATCTTCTGATAACATTGTGGCTCATTTTCACTGGTCGATGATATCCGCGTGCGGCATGCAGGAGATTTATGTGGTTTGCTTTTATTTTTTACTGACCAATGAGATGAACCTGGAGAGGTCGTCCACGCTCCGCCGGCGGATCCCATCAACCAGTGTAAATGAGCCATAATATTTATTTGTAGAAGTACAAGAAATATGTGACAATAGTGATGTTGTCCTACTCGAGTATACAACTTGAGTTTGCCGATCGAGTGTTTGTGTTTGACAGCAAAGTACTGGTGTTCGGGGGTACACCGGGTTTCATGTTCTTTAAATATGGTGAGACTCAACTCTTATAGTTTTTATGAAAATCATTGAATTCAGGGAATAGTGAATAAGGTTATCAGCTCGTATCGGATTGGCTTGATCAAAGTCTTGAACAATAAGTTACGAGAGAACGATTGAATTGTCGAGAAATGAAACTAGTCTCCAGACAATATTGTACTTGTAGGTTCAATACATACTGCTAAGAAATTTAAACGGGTTCCGAAACTTTAAGACGAAGTCCTACCACGGACTCTTAAAACTGATACTAAAAGAGTTTCACCTATCCGCTCACCATTCTCACCAAGTAAAGAGAGTTCTGCCATTATCTTAATTATTTCGATAGCTATTTTTAAAATTTCCAAATTATTTCATATCTAGTTGATATTTGGTGAAGCCATATAATATTTCAAAAGCTGTGTTCAGCAACTGGTTAATGTGTGGTGTTTAATGTGATTGGTTTTAAATTTTATTTAACCATAATAAACAACAAATAAAATATTACAATCGCATTTAATCCCCTCAATAGGTCGGGAGTACCGCGTACGTATGACCTTCCGCGGCAGCTACGGGCAGGACGACGAGGTAGTGTCAGAGTTGGTGCAGGCAGCGGTGGCGGTGGGCGGCAGCGTACGCGCACACCTCGGCTCACTACTAATCTTGCGCTTGCCCGCCGCGCCTACACATGCTGTCGCCGCTCTCATAGCACACTTCGACCGCGACGCCAACAAATATGGCATAGTATCTATGAGCATTAGCTTACCTGACACCGAAGAAGTCACTAAAAGGTCCACTTCACCTTTATTTAGACAGTTCTGTACTAGAGTACCGGAGAACAGAGGTCTTATTCCGTACCAGCTACCAAATTATATCGCTGTTGTGGTTTAAGTCATCATGTGCATTACCGTTATATGAAGGCGGTGCTTCTGCTCTATAGAAAGTTATTCACTGCATAATACAGAGTACATGCAGCAATGTATAACTAACTAGAAGTAGCTGTATCATTTTATAAGTCCTCTGTAGATTATCAAGTTGTCTCATCCTGGAATTACCAATAACAGCCCTGCACATGATGGCTCTCGAGAAATCGAATATTAAATATGTTTGCGGAAATAATAGTAGAACATATTAAGCAGTTATTATTAAATACAGTAATGCGCTAATGTTTGAGAATGAGCTAATTTTTATTTCAGAGCTATCAATGAGTCCAGAACTCTTTCATATGAACCGTCTAAAACACAATTGAATATATGCAAAGAAGCTTTGAAGAGAATTGATGGTATACCTACACTACTATTAAATTTCCCAAATTATGATGTAACACAATTATAACAATATCCAATGATTGCAAGATTTAAAATCAAATTATTCCAAAGACATTTCGTTCGCCTATTTCGCAAAATCTTATTGTAAGCTATGCATCTTTTCTTTCAGGACATCAATTATGGAAAAGACAAGAAACGGCCACATTTAATTTAGGACAATTAAAAAAGTTTGCAAAGAAATACATCTACTTCTATTGCTTTTACAAGTCTTACATAGCTATCATGGTTCGAATTTCTATTATTAATTTAGTTGCAAAATTAATTTTAATGACGTAAGTTGGACTTTAAAGAGAACTATGACTATATTTATTTGTTGCAGATTATATCGGCGTTATTGGCAGGAGTAGTAATTGGAGTTTCGCTATCGAGTATTTTGGCTCATATAGATCAAAATAAAGATGCTTTTATGATAACTAATAAAAAGGTGCGAGTTAAACGAGATGCCTTACATCCAGTTACACAAACATCAATTAAAATTGTCATTAGTATAATGCAACATTATTTAAAGAACATTGTTTAGAGCCCATTTTCACTAACCTACAACAAGGCATAGCTTAACTTGGAAACACCTAATATAACAAATCGCCTAGGCAGATTAGTTTAATTCCAAATATATTTTTTTATCCCTTCACATATTTATGATTCTGTCATATACGCAAATACCTAACGCAAGCATAACGAATATCGTAACTTTAGACGTTAGGTCTTAATTTCGTTAGGTGGGCCCTAGTCAATGATACAATACATTTTTACCTTAGGCGATTCCTAAATATTTAGGCGACAGATTTGGGCGGCTCCTAAGTTCAGTGGAAACGGGAATGAGTCGTATTATTGGGTGTTACTATCGCACTATAAAACATTAGTTATTTTTGATTATTTGTTTTAGTAGAGTCCTTATAGTGAAAACTTAAAGCTAATGTAATTTTTAATGTAAAATGCTTAAACAAAATTCCACGGGCTGTCAGGTCTCACCACTGAGCTGCCCAGGATCTAACGGGACTGATGAATTTTTCAAGCACTTGTTACTTTTCGCTGCTAGTGAGCGTATTTTCATCAAGAATAATATATACCAGTATAGCGTTGTAAATGCAAAATTGTTCAAATATAATAATATTTGTTATTTTTTCTATTTCAAATTGTAGGTACTTACAGTGGAGGCACTAGAACAGAAGACCACTCTCGTCCTCAAAGTTGACAACACATCTGATGCTAGATCTGTAGCCGACGCGTACGTTCGTTTACTTAGAAATTTCGAATAATGTCCAAGTTTGCCTGTTAGTACAATAGGGATGATGACTAATTTTTGTTTGTTTGTCCGTCAGGTAGAGTGTTAAAAAATATTAAACACGTATTTTTTTATTTTTTTCGTAATCATACAATTACGGCGTTACATGGAGTTGAAATTTCGCATGACGTCACGTTAGAGTACGTTTTCTACTCAACTGTGACGTAGCGAGCCCCCAATCCTCAACTTTAATGCCTGTTATCTAAGCTATTTCTTGTCAATTTGAAGTAAAAAAAAATACGTATCTAATATTTTTCTATTATCTGACTGACGGACTAAATAGAATTGCATTTTATTTACCCAGTCATCATCCCTATTAACAGTAGGGAACTATTTATTTGGATATCGATTCATATCATGACACGGATATAATTTATTTATAATTATAATTTATTAATTATAATTTATAACCTTATTGCTTTTTTCGCGATAAAATATATCCTATGTTCACCGCTTATGAAGTGACTTACAGTAGGTTCTAGTAATTTTTTTAAATCGGTCCAGTAGTTTCAGAGCAAATAAACAAACAAATAATCTTAAATTTATATTATCTTAAATTTTAATTAGTAGATATAGATAATATTATAATGTATTAAATGAACAACAATATAACTGTCTCTTTATAGATATGTTCTATCAGATACTAAAGCTACGGAGAAAGAAATCCAGGACATAAGATATACTGCTCTAGCGTACACTGAGGTAAATATTACGTTATACTTAAAAATACACATAACTTAATAGTATAGGAGCGTACCAGTACTCATATTTTTTTTCTGTTTGAAATGAAGAGGAAACCAACCATTCACTTACCATTTCAGTCGATACTCACAGGTGTGAGTCCACCCCTGTCCAAAACTGGTATTATTATTTTAGAACAACTAAGAGAATAGACCAATTAATTTTATAAAATAATTGAATAATCGCACAGTCGAGATTCAATCAGGAATCTCGACTGTGCGATTCCCCTTGACTTGAAGGATGCATTGTCCAGACATTTCTCTATGGTCCTGACTGAATCTTTACTTGAATGGTGGATCCGCATTTGGGTCGCGCTGTTGTCCTAAAAAGTATAACATTAGCATGTAAAGTTATTAAGAGCGAATTTTACTTTGCGTTAATATAAAATTAGCGCAAAGTAAAATGTCAAGTGCAAAGATTAGCACTATATGAGATTTCATACCAAGGCCTAGTTTTCGCACTCACGAACACAGTGATTAATCTTACGATAATTATTCAACATAGTGAAACTGTAAGACATATATAATGTTTTGTTTTCATGATTTACAGAGTATGACTGAATATCTGGTGACGCGAGCTATAGATTCGCCCCAACACTATGTGTACATGTACGCGTACGGGACAGACATTTCAAGTAATGAACTTGGTGATTTAAGGGTTAGCAGCAATGCTTGTTTTACTTGTATTCTGCGACTACTTCCACTTTGTTTCGATGAAAATATGTCACTTATCAGAAAAATCAACAACACTATTGTAATATAGAATTTCTTGCCGGTTCTTCTCAGTACAAGGTTTGCCAACCGATGGCGTAGCTTTCGTCATTCATAAGTGCGCTTGACACAACCTATTTTAGGAACCGTAAGGTTGAATGTTGGTCCCTACTGTGGTGACGGAGACAACTGGCCAGGGAGACTAAAGGATAATTGTCTCCCTCCGAGCTAGGTGTTGTTAGCCCGGGGACCGCGGTCCAACCGATGTAGGGATGTTACTGCGATGAATTAGATGTCGCTATGTATCAGTCGCCACACTATACTGAATAAATTATATTGAATTTGTTTATTCCTTAGATACAACGTACAATAATTATGATATCTTAAAGTAGTTCTTAATTAATGATATTTCTATAGAAATAATAAGCAAAATAAATTAATTTTAGAAAACATCTAACAAGCCTTTAGCACTAGTGTGATGGAAATCGGAATAAAGAAGGTACCATAACATCCAGACAATCAAACTCAGGATTTTAGAGATGATGACTCGTTGAAACCGGCATTCGAGTCACTCGGCCATAGAGAACATCACCGACCTTTAATATATGTGTTATTGGACCAGGTGCAGGCTAGATACAGTCCTCTACATCACGATCAGAGCGCGGCTGCTCGATCCCTGGCGCGTGTGTACATGGCACTATTGAGGCATTACACAGGAACACTGGATGCCTCCATACAACTCACAGATGATCCTCTAGCGCTAGACCTCACTCCGGTTGTACATCAATAGTTAGCTAGGTTAAATAATTGAAACAAAAGATATCCAGGAAACTCCCAACACATTTTTTTTATATACAAGTTTCTTATCTAAGAACTTATACTAATATTAAATTATAAATAGGTATAGTTTTTGTGGCTCGGTGGCGTAGTGGATAAGCGCCGCGGCCCGCGATCGTTGTCGTTAAGCAACTTTCGCAAGTTACGGGATGGATGACCAAAAAAAAATATCTCGAGCTACTCCGTGTTTCGGAAGGTACGTTAAGCCGTTTGTCCCGGCTGCATTTGCAGTCGTTAATACTTTCCAATCCGCATTGGGTCAGCATGAAGGGTCATCACCCATTCTCCTTAATCATCCATAAGGCCTGAGCCACTGTAGTGGAGACGTAAAAGGGCTGATGATGTTGATGATGAAAGTTTTTTGTCTGTAGGGTAATCTTTAGAAATACTGATCTGATCATAAAAATTCTTTCACCCACAGGAAAGTATATACGTATAAGTATAAGTATCATACGCGGGTGACATGGGCTATAACTTACGCTGGGGAAGTTACGGGAAAACAGTTTTAGCTTATTAATAATGAAAAATGCTTTAAAAAAACCACTTTGTCCCTGGCACTCTGAGATGGGACTCGAACCCATTTGCCCGTTTCCAGAGACAAATTGGATTTTTTAATAATTTTTCATAAAGAATATTTATCGGAATTACAATGTGAATTGAAAATTGGTCAAATAATAAGTATTAGCTTAGTCCGGCTGCGGTAAACTACCGCTTAGTAGTTTATCATAGTACTGTATAAGAATGCAGAACGGTTTTTATTGTTTCTTTCTCGGTAATACATTTGTTTTTATAATACATTGTACAATAACCTGTACGTTAACCGTTTCAGTGGATGAAATATGCCGGCAAACCTCCACTGTTTATTCAGTTCCTGTTGATATTAACTATATCTCATATTACCCTTATACCTTCGATGGAGCACGGGCTTGCAAGACATCTACAGGTACCTATTTACAATTTCTTATGTATATATAGAGTAGTAGGTAAAGTAGCTCGGTGGCGTAGTGGATTAGCACCGCGGCCCGTGATCGTAGTCGTTAAGCAACTTTCGCAAGGGTCAGTCACGGGATGGGTGACCAAAAAAAATTATTATCTCGAGCTACTCCGTGCTTTGGAAGGCACGTTAAGCATTTGTTGGTACCGGCTGCATTTGCAGTCGTTAATACCCTCCAATTCGCATTGGGCCAGCGTGGAGGGTCATGGCCCATCCTCCTTAACCATCCATAAGGAAGGCCTGAGCCCCTGCAGTGGGGACGTAAAAGGGCTGATGATGATGATGATGTATATATAGGAAAATTATGGTTACGAGGAGAAACAGAGGCCGATTTTATTAAGCAGAGCAGACAGACCTATAGTGTTTTTATTTGAAGTGTGTTGATTAATTTTACATGACCAAAGGCTGACATAAAGACCTTTGGTTAAAAGATGGGTATACTACAGGTGACAAGCCAATCCGGCACTATAAAATGTAACTTTTAACGTTGAACTTGAATTTTGGCTGATTATATTATCGTCGAGCCAAGTTTCCTAGAATGAGGAAGTATTTAAAAAAAATAGTTCCCGAAATCAAACTTAATGTCGCTACGGTACTTACTACGATTTCTCACTGACAACCCTTCCGGTTTTCTTTCATGTATAAAAGTAAATTAGTTTTCAAAACTCAATAAACAACTCATGTTCTATTGACACTTTTTTGTATTTGTATTGATATCTAAGTTTCGAACTTTGCAAATTTCAGCTTTTTTAATTTGTTAGTAAAAAGGAACGGAACTTAATATCTTTGGTTCATTCGTTTTGCTGCAAAAATCAACTTTTGCTAGAGTCGCTATCTAGTGGAGGTACTGTTTAGTGCTTTCTTATTTTTAATACATACTCATTAAGATTATTTGTTAAACTATAAATTTAAAATTTTCAAAATTGATTGAGTTTCAAAGGCTTAAAGTCGTTTAAAGAGGCTCGTTTAAAGACTAGAGTGCCTTGGCACTTGCCTTTAAAAGATGGCGCATTTAATCAGGATTTTAAAATGGTACAATACTTTTTAGTTTCATACTCAAAAAAAAAACTAGTTTAAAAATAAATACTCAAGTAATCGGATATTTGCTAACCCATTTAACTCAGTTAAACATTTGATTCGCACAAGTTCTTAGTAGGTTCTAAATTTTACAGCAAAATATATGTATTAAATGCCATTAATTACTTTTTCTTTATTTAGTGTAATGCCATGAACTTTTCACCGACGCGTTACTGGTTCTCCATGTTTTGGTGCGATCTGATGCTGTACTGGTGCCAACTGTGCATCATGACGATCGCATTGGTTATTGTAGTCCATATCAGCGTACCTTCCGTGAACTTCTCATACACAGACTTGGGTAAGATATTGTTACTTTTTGTATAGTCAACTTCTTGTTTCGTCTTCAGGACAGTAATTCTCGGAATGTTAAGATTTTCTTACTGTTTTACGTGATAAGCGGACCACCGATGGTTCCTGGAAGCGTCACAAGTGATCCCTGGAGCTTCATAAAAATATTCTACTTATTTATGTAGAGTTAGCATATTAAATCCCCTATTCCACATATCCCTACTGACAAATCCCTACTGTTAGGGATACTAGGATTTTTTTTCTAATTGTAGCTACCGGTAGTGATATATGGAATCTGATACTCCACATACCTCCACCGATTTGCACTGGTAGGGATACTTGGATTTTTATTTCCGTTTATCCTAATCTTAAAAATCTTATCCAGTAGGGATTTATCATTTTTGTCGAATTATCATTTGAGATTAGTATATGTCTAATATAGAGAAGCATTGTATTTAATTGGTTTTCTTATATTTCCAGCAATAGTCCCAGTATTGTTGTTCGTGTATGGATTTGGATGTATACCTCAAGCGTATCTCTTTAGTATAGGCCCCCGAACAGCTCTAAACACAATGACTTTTGTTATCATTAACATTGTATTTGGTAAGGTTTTATTTATTCATTTTTAAAGGATACTGACATTATATTATTACGTTTAGGGTCGATGTAGATCTAACTGAAATATACGTTTGTTACATTAACGCGACGTATCTTCCATTAGATATGCACTGACCCTTACACTCCATTTTAAGAGGGCCCGTTATGTTCTTATAGTATGTTCTTATGAATACAAAAAAAACTACGCAATTGCCTAATTTAAATCTACGCAATTGCGTAGGTTTTTGTATTTTCACGAGGCATGGGGTAAACTAGACTTTCAGTTTGCTCAGATTCTGCAAAATTACAGCATCGTTGCAGCATTGGAGGTTCAATTAAATAATAACTACAACAACTTTAACTACGAAAGGTAATAAAGGTTTTATGTGAATCTCTAATGCTGTAACAGCTCTGTATTCGACGCTACATTCGATATTGTTTTATTACTGAATAGCAAGGCTGGTGATATTGATTTGGTTTGATTAAATTAACGCAACGCAAACTGAAACAATAGGTCTATTTTTTTTCAGGGGAAACGACTATAATAGCCAAATTATTCTACGGCGAAGGTCTAAACTACGCCTTGTATTTTATGAGACTATCGCCCCAATTTAATATGGCTTACGCTTATGTGAAAATCAAACAGATATTCCTTTATAACAGCGAGTGTGTCTTGTTTAAATCAAGAAATCTGTGCAAGTCCGCTAATCTCCACAAATGCTGCGGTAAGTTGCGCGTCTAATTGAAAGGAAAACCGATATTTGAGAATAGAAAATTTGTATAACTTCATTTTTATAGTAATAATGAATAAAATGATACTTATACAGTAAGTACTTAATTCTAGGAACTTATCCGATAAAGTTAACAGGATTTATAGAAGTTTTTTTTTTTAATCTTTTATAAAATCAAAACACATATACAAAAGTGGATACACCAAAAATATCATACACGGTACGAGAAATATTGATTTTCTGATAGTGCTGTATTACTTCTTATTAATGAACACGGCTGGCACCGAACTAAAAAAAAAAAACGTTGGTATATCCACTTTTTTGCGTTTCGATTGTATTGAAGATAAAAACTTATGGTATTATTTATATACCAGTTTTTTTAAATTAACATAAATCAGGTTTCAATGTTTTTGAAGAAAACAATTACTGATCCAATCACAAAATAACAACATCCTTGTTTTCTTTATTATAGACAAATGTGGTATTTTACAAGAATGTTTCTCAAGAAAAGAATATTTTACAAGGATACCAGGTATCCTCGTAGAACTTGTCTCAATCATCGGGACAGCTGTTCTTTTTACTGTTCTGCTATTACTCTGGGAGTATAGAATACTGCAAAGGATTTTTAGGTTCATGATAACAAAATGGTTCGATGTGGAAAAATCGGGAAATATAGAAGAAGGGATAGGTTTAAAGCGAGAGAAAGCTGATGTTACGGATAAACTAAAGGAAATGCAGTTTAAAAGAAGTGAGATGGTGGTTTACTTGGCATTCATGAAATACTTTATTTAATACATTAAATATTATTACAAACAATTTTAAAAAATCCGGATTTTAACTTTGATCAAGATATTAAAGTTTTATAATAATCGCAGGAGAAAAAGTCGATACATTCGGAGAATACTTGTTGGTGGACAACGTAAATAAAAAAGAAGATGGCTATTATACCTTGAGGAACATTAACTTTGGTGTTGGCAAAGGAGAAGTGTTGGCATTATCAGGGCTGAAGCGGCACGGTAGGGTAAAGCTATGTGAAATTTTAGCTGGATACAAAATACCAACTACCGGACAAGTGTGGAGTATGTCACGATGGAAGCTGAAGGAGCAGCCTTATAAAGTGAGTAATATGTAACATCAAACTTTCGGAAGTGCTATTCAGCTAGACCGTATAACCGCTTTGATACGTTTCATTTATACCCGTAGTATACCCGTAACTTATCAATAAGCTGCGAGAGAAGCCCTCTACCGCATTGGATGAAAGTTTATGACGCTCTTGTTCTGTTAGCTGTCCTTCGAGGAGTCCCGCAGAAACATGTCGCCGATGAACTAACAAATTATATTGATGCATTAGGTAATTTTTAATGACATTTGCAAATATGTTGGTAGGTGTTACATGAATTCGATAGCGCAGTGATTAACGCATTCAGTCTGCGATACGGTGGTTAAGCAACCTCCAAAAGGGTCTTCGTGGTATGGAAGGCACGTTAAGCCGTTGGCTCCAACTGCGTCTAGTTATAGTTCATGACAAAAATGTGCAAGAGCATCCAAAGCTTGATATTTCGGTATGTTGAAGTACTATAGTATCCAGTACGAAGGTCAGGCGCTTGAGCTCCTGGTGGCATATACACAATACACTCCTTGTTTGGGCAGTTACGTGAAAATAGTCCTAGGTCGTCTCTAAGCAGGACACTTTCCAATGGTGGCTCAAGGCATTATGTCAAACTTGCCACCCTGTAGATCCACTACTGATGACTAAAACCTTCAATTAAGTCATAACATACGCCTCTGTTTTATCTAACTTCAGATCTAAAAGACCAAGTTAATATGTACATTTGCGATTTGCCACCGAAAGACCGTACGCGGTTGCACTTTGCCGCTGCAGTAGTCGGAGCGCCCCCCGTCCTGATCATGGATGAGTGCACGGCCTACCAGAAATACTCTGTCAGACGCGCTATGTACTACATTCTGTATAACTTGAAGAAACGGGGCCATGGCATCTTCATGAGTGCTAGCAGGTTAACAGAAATAGATGACATCTAGTTACGTTTTTGTAGAAATAAATAATTATGAGATTGAGACGTCACATCCACGATAGGTAGTTTATAAAGCCCTATTATGGAGTATCTGAAACAACGGTGCCATCTAGGGTTACCGCCCGTACTTTATAATAAAGTATTGTACGTTATTTCAGACAATTGTACTCTATACTCTATAAGAAACATAAAGTATACGAAAATACTTTATATCGTATGATTTGATTTGTTTGTGATTTTGAAGCTTAGTCGTAAGTATTTTTTCGTTAAACAAAATTTATCGATTCATGCTGAATAGATAAATAAAAAGAAAATATATTTTTAAGTTTAGTAATAAAGAAAAATAAATAATACTTTATTTTGATTCAATTTACTTTGTTTTTGTACCTATAATAACTTATGTACTTTAATTGGGAAAAAAAGGTGGCAACCCTAGTGCCATCCAGGGGCGAGACCGCCTAACTCATGGACGTAGCCATCGCCTATAACCTATGCTTTATCGATATTCCTAATGAATCTGTTTATATTCTTTTAAAATTATTGCTTTTTTAATCTATATATTTTATCAAACATTTTGCTTTGTTTTTCTTTTTGAAGTAGCATTGTTTGTATCAATTAGACATTTTGTAAATTTCGTTTAACTTTTATAATTCAGTTAACAAAAACAACCAAAATTATTGATTAAATATGTAAATAATAAAAAAACGACTAATTTTAAGACAATGACAACGGATTGATGTGAGACACCAGTAACGCATAGGTTATAGCTACGAGTAGTTAGGCCATAAGTAGGCGGTCGCGCCCCAGATCGGAAACAATTATAGATAAGTTTATTCTCTTTTACTTTGACCCGTAGGAGAATCGAATGAAGTCGTGAGAGATATTAGTTAATAAGTAATTTTATATCTTTAGTGTTCCTGCCGCAACGCGTAAAGTAGGAGACTGATTTCTCGAAAAAAGGTTCAGTAGTAAGGTACAGGCGCCAAGGAAGGCCCACTTAATTTCAAAAAATTTTAAAATCTTACAGATAAGTAAAATAATGAAAATACGTAATTAAAGTTGTAATATATTTATTTGAGAAACAGTAAATCAAAAAAAGTGAAGTGAAACACGCTTGCAATATTGTCTGTGGCACTAGTAGCATAAACCCGCGAAATTTCAAATAATTCGAATAATCATAACTGTATTTTTTTTAAGTTAGCCCATCTTGGGAGCTGGGCCATCTTTGGCGACACTACCTTATTCATAGAAATAACTATTAACAAAGAGACCTCCAACGAAACGAGTATATCATCATAATAAACAATATTTTTTTAGTTCTAAATTTATTTTTCTTATAACTGCTAGAAATCGGCAAAAGCCTAACAAAGGCGGGTAGAGAATTTAAGTCACATCGTTTGAAGTCCAGTAGTCAAAAGTATGACCAGTAAATCCTTGCCCGAATTCTAAAGAAGTTTCTTGAATTTATCCCCTGCCTTTGTTACATTTTTTTGCGAGTTTTATTAAGCGGAGCGTGGCCGGGATTTAACATCAGCTGGAGATTAGCTAGATGCATATTTAGCTAATTAGCTAATCATAATAGTTACCAATTAAAGGTTTAAAGGTTTTGTAAAAAATATGATGCCTGTAAATAATTTTTATAGTGTTGAAACACACTTACCGATAACCAGCCGGCTGGCGATCCTGGTGGACGGTCACATTTATGACATCGACCACGTAGACAGACTGGTGGAGCGATACCACAACAAAGGTTACACGGTGGTGGTGCACCTCAAGGACGAGGTTAATGTGACTCAGATGTTCTCCAAACATTTCCAAAAGATCCTTATCAACGATGTATCAGAGGTGATTATAATTAGCATTATTTTAACTAGATTAAGTACCTACGGAACTCTACGACTTTTTACTTTCTCTACGTTCATTACCTACTATTTTTATACGTACTCGCCGGTTTAATTTGCTTCTGCCATCACCCTTAAAAGGTGATTGTTAACATGGTTCTCATCATATCTTCGAGGACGGCAACAATTGGTTGTCGTCCTGGTGTGAACTGGAAGCGGGTGTCCCCCAAGGCGGCATTCTTTCTCCTCTCCTTTTTCCAATATTGATTGATTTATATCATCTGTATGCAGACGACTTACAACTTTATACGGAGGCAAGCGTTGATGAAGTAGATAATGCCATTATAACATTAAATAGTGACTTAGGGACTATTAAAACATAGTGTGATAATTTTGGTGTCACTGTTGATGTTACTAAATGTAAGGTTATATTATTGGGTGGGCATCGGATCATGAAAAGGGTTAACATCGATAGTTATGATTCTATTACTATGATTCCTTTCAGAGCCCTAATGTCAAGAATCTAGATTACATATCGATTCGTGCCTCAATAAGTAGTGTATCTCAGAAAGTAACCGGAATATTGAGAGAGACTTATCGCCTCAAAAACTTTCTGCCAGTTAATATCAATGCTATGCTTGTGCAGACCTTGATATTTCCTAAAATTGACTACGGTGATGTGTGCTTATCGACCTGAATGCAGATCTACTCAACAAACTTGATCGTCTTCTTTAAAACTGCATTCGATTTGTATTCAGTCTTACAAAATGCGACCATGTGTCCGCAAATTGGTCATATTTAATATTGGATGCCCATCCGGCAGCGAAGAAGTATGCGGTCGTTTTAGTATTACCTATCATTACTGTTAACTGTTTGATATTTACAGGTTTTGGTAAACGTACAAGTATTGGATAATAATCTCAAGTGGGGACAAGTCTTCCAAAAGATGGAAGAGCTCAAGGCTCAGAATCCCCAAGTGTACTCATATATAATATCTGCTATACCAATAGACTATATCTATAATACGATTATTGCAAATGAACAAGGTCTACAACCTACTTCAGACTTGATATCTCTGTTTTGCCTTACAAATGTCTTGGCGCAGAGAGTTTTGATAGTGCCTAATAAAGAAGCTGTGGACAGGTTGATACCTTTTGAGACGAAATATAGTGTGACTAGACTAAAAGAGCTGCCTTGGTCGGTGATATTTCAGAGATAAATATGTTTCTTATTTCGTTTGTTTTAAGGCTTAATTTTGAAAGTGCCTTTAGGTATTAATATTATCAACAAGTGTTTTCGTACATGTCCTATATGTACTTACAGAACGCTTGTAACTTCTTTTGCAGACTGAGTTCTGCATGTTAGAGGTACATATTTTCAACATGTGTTATCAGAATGTAATTAATTTTTGTTTTAAGCTTTTATAAATGTAGCTAATATGTTCAGAGTATTAGTAAATAGTGTTAAGTTGTTTTTAAGAAGGGAAACTGTTGCATTTTTGTGTTAGAATACATGCAAGCGAGTGACATTATTTTATTTCTAAGTTAGATTTTGCACCATATTAAAGCACAAGCATTGACCCATCACGCGTGAAAGTTGTATTTCAAAACCATAGTGAAATAAAAATAGTGATTTATGTAATGATTTTCATTTATTTAAGCTTATATTAGAGGAGACTAGTTGGGTATCACAAAAAAGAACCTTATGCAAATTAGAATTTGATAATGTTTGTTAAGGCTACGTTATAATCCATAGCGCCAAAGCACTGGAAGAACGAATTTTGGAAATCGTTTATATAAAAAGATATGTTACTCCGCTACCCAGTACAAGCAGAGTTGTTAATACCCTTACAGAGTTATTAATAAACAAGGTTTAACGTTGGAGTAAATTTACGCTGAGACTGCACTCAGTATTAGTCAAAATTCGTATTGTTAAACAGAGACTTAGCAAAGGTTGACCTAGTACGAGGTTCTACGGGAGCAATATTTACTCCTAGAAGGTAGTAGATTTGCTTATTTCTCTATATAATATGAATTTGTAATATTACTAAAATTGCAATTTTAGGTTAATTTACTCTGACGCTAAATCTTGTTTATTAATAGCACTGTTAAAGCTTTACCAATAAGCCAAGAAGCGTTGTATAGTTATACAGTGTTTTGTTTTTCACTCGAACTGAAAGTCACATTGGTTTGACGTGAACAGAGCTATGTGTAACTAAACAACGGTTTTAACACCATAAAGCTTTACCAAACTGGTAACGACACATATACATAATACACTCAATGTATGTATCAAATAAAGCATTATGCAACAAAATTGTTCAAATGCAAGATTATTCAAAATTAACAATATTGGAATAATAAAATTGATGATTTTAAAACAAGTCATAATTACAATGCAACGAGATTCGTAAACGTACAATATAATATATATCTATGTCGTTGAAAACTGGCAAAAATAGGTGTTCAAATGCACAGCTAGCCCTTTTATTGATCAGTATTCAAAAATTCACGGCTAAAAGTCGGTTAGCACTTGGCTAGCCGAAGCGAAGCTGAACATTTTCTTCAACGGCACAGTTGGACGACGCTCAGTTAGGGATACCAGATAAAAAAGTCAAATATCCTGAAAAAACGCCTGATTTCTATTGAAAAATCTTGAGATTTTGTTACAGTTAAGAGATATTTTCCCCAAACGTACTTAATAATATAGAAAAGTCAAATTATTATTGTTTTTATACACTGCGGATCTCATATAGCAATGTTAGGAAGATTATTTCGTTTAAGTTTTTATTAAAAAGATCTAAAAGTCTTGTGATTTGTAGAACCCACCGCAATCTTGAAGAGTCCAAAAATTTTGAGATTACCCTACGCTCATTCTACTTTTCGGTTAAATGTCAAAAATTTGTTATAGTATAGAAGTTTGAAAAAAGTTACGTGCGTTTTAATATTACAACTACAAAACTAGGCGTATATATGGTTAACGCCATTCAATTAAAGGACTAGATGTGCAATTAAAGAGCCATTTTAATTGATTGGCTGCGACATAAGTATACACAACAGCATATTACCGATTAGCACTCTTTGTAACACAAACAAGAAACAGATGCCCAATGCCATAAAGACAAGTTAATTTGGAGGCTGTCCAATAAATTTTAACTTCATACATTACTGGTTTTATATAAAAACTTGACCTATTTTATGCTTTGGTTTATTTATAAACTCATAATAGGTTTCATTGTCATGATGATTTTTATCTTAAGTTTTATTCTCCAATCTTCTTGTGAACATGAAAGTTACTACAAAATATAGAGTTAGACAAAAAAATTAGGCCACCTTTATTTCTACACATTCATATTTATAAAATTTTCTTGTGTATAGCGGAAAAAGTAGTCTGTTAATTTGAACATGGACTATAGAATTTAAACATTAACATATAATCAGTAAAAATACGTCATTTTTTTTATTTTGAAAGACAGTTACAACACCCAGTTTGGTAAATAACCTACTTTATTGTCCAACAGTATATTTTAATTATTATTTATCATTGATCAGGTTTTGAGAGATTTCCCAGAGCAATGTAAAAAGTTACAATAGATATTGGTACATAACTTTGCATGGCTGCATTAAGAAACAAACAACATAAGCTTAAAATGGTTGCATGTGCCAAAGTAAAAATGCTATGAATGTTCAAGTACTTAATCTCTAAACACATTTAGACTAGCAGATTTATAATACAACAGACAGTGATTTACAACAATATTGAATTTACAAAGAAAACTATTGTTTTCTACTTTGGCATTAGTGTGCTCGCAAATAGCACCTTAACTAGGCTTAATTTGCAAAACATACAGTTAATACTATTGATGTACTGAGTACTAAGATAACCAAGTATTAAGCAGAGTTACTTAGTTCATGTATTCAAGTGAAATATAAAAATTTGATGGTTGCATTAAGGTCAAGTCAAGTCAATGTGCAATTGCAGATATTTGAACCTATTTATTATGGTAGTTTTAAGTTTGTCAAGAATTTTGAATATTATATGAAACAAATAAACCTAAAAAACTCGGCCATCTTTAGTTACTAAATAAACCCAATACCTGTTAGTATATTAATGAAGTGTAGTGTGTGATCTTTGCAACTCAGAGGTGGAACTTCTGGCATGTGCCATCATGTTTTCTATTCTATTTGTGGTTTCTCGAACCATAGAGAATTCTGACAAATCAGGCAAATCAAGCACTATATGAGCAGATAGACGTTTATAAACTGAATTTGTATCTTTTTTATTTCTCCTAGCCTCTTCATATTTTAATTGTTGTTTTAAAAATATAGATTGCTTCAACATTTCCTGAATGTTCGTAAAGCTGTTAGCTGCACCATCCATTGATTTAACTGCACTGAAAATGTGAACAAACAATTAATTGTTGTTGTGTTGGAAAAAGATACAACAGTTAAAATTGTGAAGTATAACTTTAACCAATTACTTTGTTTACTTTAATTAACAACAAATAAAGCTAGTAGTTTAGCTATATAAGTATATGACAGTTAGTTTAAAATTTATTGATAATTAAGTATTTACTTTTAATGAGTCACACCAATGATGTTTTTATCAATATACCTAAAAAGTAGTACCTCGAGAATCTTAAAAAAATATTTTAATACTATTAAATGTTAAAGTAGGGCTTCTGCGGCAAAATGAGGCGAAGCAACCGCGCTAACATATGACGACACTTCGCGACACTGCTTATCGTTACTTGCGTTTAACTACATTGTACATACTTTGGCTCAATGAATCTATAATATTCAGTTTTGCTATAATATTCTGTATATTCGCTTTAAAAATAAAATAAATTATTTTTCTTATATGGAATGAACAAACTGGTTGGGAAATATTGTGTTGTCTCTATGTGTATCAATTTCAGTGGAAAAACATCCTAAAAATTGTTTTTTGTACCTATCACATGATAGAAATATCCAAAAAAATCTTAAACTGTCCTAAAAAAGTAAAAAGATGGCCATGGTCATATCAATTGATATTTTTTTATCCTTTATCTGCAATCGCCCTTTAAGCTTGAATCAGATGCGCTGACATCTATCATTGTTCAATAGTTCCTCCACAAAAGATATTCAGACCTTTGTGGAGGCTCATTGTTACAAAAACAAAAAGTTACCTTTATATTAAAGATTGCAAATGATACTGAAAACTTAAATGCACAGGTTTTTTTTAAACTTTTTGCCTATTTCATTGAAAAAAAAAATACAATATTTAAAAATGAAATTCAAATAAAAGTTTGTCGGCCCTGCTTGTAAATAATCTAAACTGCCTCTATTCTCATTTAATATTTTTAGAAATATATGATGAACTTTGACACCTTGGAAAATGTTTGTAACCCCTACCGCCATTTGACACTCTACAAAAAACAATCAGTAATTTTTTAGCAAAACTAGTAACATAAATGAGTAGTTAGACATGACTTGTTTAAAAAGTTTTATTACTCGCATTTCGGCTGCTACATTATCACTATTCTCGGACAAATATAGCACAACCATAAAAATATTGACTATTGGTAGATTATCCAAGTTCTATAAAACAGTTTTTCATCACTATGTCAGTTCAGTAAAATTAAAATCCCAATTGTTTTATAACGCAGACAAAATAACAAACACTTAAAAAATATTAGATGCAAACCTGGTGCTGGTGTGACTCATTGCAGTTATAATTGCATTAATTTATATAATGATGATAGTTTATTAATTAATTTTTAAAAGGATCCTTAAGGGCAGCAGAAGGCACTAAGTAACAAGTCAGCAGCCTATTTGAAACTGGCAGCAGGTTTAAATATGAATATTGTTCAAAAAAGCAGCTAAATTATGTAGTATAAAATGTTAACAAAACTTGCAAAGTATAACTCAAACAAATTGAACAATCGAACTATATAAGGTACCACAATTCATGTTCTTTCACTCACCCTAGAGCATACTCTACATCATAGCACCTTCCTTGTAATTCATGTTGTAGCTTTGTGACTTCAACTCTTCTTTCAATCATTGGCGGTAATGCCTTCCTAACATGTTCCTGCAGTCTAAACAGAGCTAATGACGGCTCATTAGCCACTATGTGCATATTCTCTGAAATACGCTCGACCGCTGGAATATATGGATATTACTTTGAATTAGGCAACTCACAAAATGTACCTAAGTCTAGTCTTGACAATTATGATATTAAGTATTTAATCCTAAAAAATAAATGGATCTCGATCAGCTGCATATGACTAGATGCATTAGGCTTTTTATAAATAATAATACCTTTTTTAGTTTTCGCTTCCAGATCCGGATCACCTTGGTATACAAAAGCCATTTTGCAAAAATAGATTTAAATCTGAAAAATTAAATGTTGATAATTGTGCAGCATAAAAGATTTCTTCGCGCCCTTTGTGGTTGTATTATAATGTTACGCTACCACACACAATAAAGTTCATTGATACAGGTTAATAATTATAATCAAAATAATAGAATGATTTTTGTATCTGTTTTAAAATAAAAGTTCAAATCAAAGAGTAGCATGGTTCAAATCAAACAATGACAAGAAATATTACACCAGTCACTCAGTCATAGGGATGATCGATATTGAAAAAACATCGAAGTCAACATCGATTCAAAGCCATCGATGTTCTCCAAACATTGATGTTTTTCATAGAAAAAAATAAAACTGGATGTATTTTTTACAAACAAGTATTTATTGTTACAAATTTAAAAAGTAGAATAAATGAAACCGTTAATCCCAATATTTTTTCTGTACACTTTGCAAAAAAAGTAGCTTGATTAACAATTTCCCTTTTATTCGATTGCGTTGCTGTTAAAGGAATTGACCAGCTTTAGAAAAAGCCTCTCTGAAGCCGTGGAAGTCGCTGTGCAACATAAATATTTTAATGCAATCTTTTTCAATGTGGGATAGGTGGATTCTATCCCATTCCATAAAAGTAATGGAATGGACAAGTGTCATAAAAAAATCACGTGGGAGTTTCACGGAGAGAAAACAAGCACAACCAGCATAAATTAACATTTTTTTATATACATAAATGACCTTTTTCTGTTTTACACAGAAATTTTGCGGGATAGTGAGAAATTGTTCAGAAACGGTTTTTAAAAGTTTTCTTCCTCCCTTGTTCTAAAAGTACATCATAAAGCAAACGTCACAAATTGTACTAATAAATTAAATAAAAATTATCGCAATAAATATATGATAGTGCCATGTAGATTATAGTGTATTGTAATATTTTTTAATATGCTTACAAGACGCAAAAAGATAGGTATGTTAGAAATAGACAAGATAGAATTTAGGTTAATGGGACGGGAGGTTTTGGATGGAAGTTGCTCATATGAAAAAGGTTATTTCAGACAGTTGAAGAGGATGGGATCAGTGGTACCTTTTTCGATTCCGCGCTCGCACGTGGAACTATCTAATGTACGGATCTTTGAAACTAAGACCGGTGAATAAAGTAACTTATATGATACCAACGAGCGCTGAAGTTGACAGATTTATTTCTGATTTCCTAGGAAAATGCAAGCAAAAAAAAAACTATTTGTTTGCGTACTCCAGTTACGAGTGCAACCGGTGATATCTAGTATAAAATAGTTGAACTTGATATACGAGATTATCTAGTTAGTACATCTGGAGCTCGTTAAAATGCCCAAAGGATATATTGACATTTTATTCATAAACATCGATGTTTGGCACGAAAACATCGATGTGCCGATGTTATCCAATTTAGAACATCGATGACAAAACATCGATGTTTTCTAGTTAATCATCGTTGTTTATTCAACATCGATGAATATCGATCATCCCTACTCAGTCACACTCAGTATTATACACAGATTTAACAATTTCTTAGTACTACATTCTATTCTATGAACAATTTGTAGGTAGCGTATTCAGAATAAAGGCGTTTGTGCACTACACTGAATTTTCAGGACCGGCAGTCCAATTTTTTTCGGTCCTGAATGACATGAAAAACCCGGATGATTAGCTTGTGCACTTGCTCGTCTTTTCCTGGATCGGAGCGGAGCAGTTTTGAGCAGGAGCCCTATTCTACTAAATAATTTCCAGTTCTATTTTAGCTGGAATTGTATCGTATGTCACTTAGTAGAATAGAAAAACCATTAAAAACTGTAATTTCATTCGGTTTCGATCCGTTTTTGATTCGATTTAAACAAAATTTATTTAGTAGAATTGGCCCCCAGCTCTCTTTGAAGCTTCACGTCTTTTACTCTAGGTACAATGAGATTTTTTGAACGTCGGCAATTGCTTGCTTTATTACGGCACGTGCGAAGACATAGAGGACAGAAAAAATATTGGGTTTATACCACTATTTAAAGGACAGGGTCATTTTACATAAACCACAATAAATTGAAGAATGGTCGATATTAGAAAAAATCGATGTTGACATCAATGTCACCATCGTAAGCCTAACGTCGATGTTCGATGTTTCTCGAAAACTGATTTTTGCAATAAATTACAAAGAAATAAAATACAGAGAAATCTTTCGAAATTCATTAAGAAACAGAACAAATTATTACATAATATTCCAATATTTTTTATCAAATGATTGAAGGTAAACTAATTTTAATGAAGAAAAAACTTTTAACCTATTTCTTCATTGATAAAGAGTAGAGCCAGCTTTTGTAAACATGTACGTAATAGTACATTACGATATTAGTGCGTTATGATGGTTATAACATGCGAGGCGAAATTTCAGCGTATTTGAGCCGAGCATGTTATAACCAATACGCACGTATATCGTACGATGTTTTTTAACACATTTGCGAGGAAACAGAAAAAAAAAAAACATTAAATAAACTCAATCTGTGAATGTACACTGTTGCTTTCCCGCCATTTTAACAGCGCGCTAGCGCTGCCTACTGACTGGGCCGCGCGGCGATTAGTTCGAAATTTGAATAGCAACAGCGCGCGAAATGGCAAATAATACTGTTATGGAATTTGTATGGACTATAACTTAACTATTTGCTTTGGTAACACACGTGTTTTTTATGATCACTTTACATATTTAAAACCGGTGGTACATCAGGTTTACGAGCAAAGGTGTTAAAAAATATATATTTCAAAATATGTATGTATCACATACATAAAAATTCGGTTTTCTTTTTATCTAAATTTCGATGTTTTTGGCCATATCAATTAATTTAAATAGGGTATTTGACACTATCGAAAATAAGTTGCATTTAGTGGTCATCCTGATAGATAATAATCTAATAAAGCTTATTTCTTAACATCTGCAGAAAAAACATATTTAGATTTAGTAAAATAACGTAAAGAAAATGCAATATTTTAAAGAATTTATTCAACGACGAAAACGTCCTATAATTGGTCGTCGTCACAACCAATCACGATTCTGTTTACTGGCATGTGACGTCATCAGCGGTCATGTCAAAGAAGTGTTAGAAAGATACATTAAATATCGATGCCTGTAGGTATCGAGTACTTTATAGTAATTTACTGATAACAGAATACTTTGCCGCTTCTACTGATAAGAACTGCCAAAAAGAAATACAGAAAAAAGAATCATTTGCTAAGCTTTTTAAAAAATCCAAGTAATTGGGAAAACGCCAGCAATTTAAAAAAAGAATAACTTACATGTTTTTCTCATAACTTAAACTTTAATATAATAATTCAAAATTACAAAGTCGATTTTATGATATATATACTGTTCTCTGTATATTCTGTTCACCAAGTTAAAAACTAATTTAAAAAATCATCGGGATCTGATATCTAATTATCAAATGCCATGCATTTAGATGCATGTATATAAAAAATAGAATATTCTTTTTCGTACTAATGTCTCATCCATCTGTAGGTCGACAGGCTGTAAAGTGCGAGCCTAGTTAACATATACAAATGAGTCGTAAAATGTTAATGACAAAGAAAAAAAACAAAAAGAAAACCTTTAAATGTATCGACATGAAATAAAAAAGTTTCAATACTTTTAGCGAATCACTACATAATTTTATCACCCATCTCTACTCTATATAGCTACTATACTGTTGTGATTGTGAATCTATTTTCTTCTAGACTCAAAGTTTGTTTGTTATTTATAGAAGTATTAGTAGATTGTGGCACTACGCACCACTTGTAGCTCACTTTTTAAAGAAAACCAGAGCAGAGGAAAATAAAAAACGTAAAAAATACGCACTACGACTTCAATTTCTCTTCTAAATTATTATTTCAATTTACTCTAAAGACAGTTGTTACTTATCGATTTGACATATTTACTGGCCTGTGACGTCACGATCAGCGCCACTACATAGACAGCGTTTTTCGCGCGCTTTTGGTTATTTAAATTTTAACAATTATTTTCACCAAAAATAGAAATGATTCCAATGAAAAATTATGACTGTGTGTTTATGATGACCCTATTGATATTAATACTATCAAATATCAAATAATGCATTTGTCTTGCGTGAGGCCGCCGTTCTAAAGTACAAGTTTACTGAGCAACGTAATAATTTATCATTTCGATTATAACATTTGATTCCGAAGTTTCATTATAATTAATTACAAAATAAAGCAATCTAAATTCACGTATTTCACTTTCGCTTCACACTTGTCTTGGTGTCACAAGAAAATCACCCGAGAGCTGAGAGAGAACTTTCTTTCTTCGAAGTTTTGTTTCGTTGACGCCATTTCGTAAACAAAGCGAAATTAGTGTCGTGTAACCGGAGAATTAATATAATTTTTTCTTGTATATATAATTTTTTCTAAAAATACTTCTTTATTAGATTCACAGAATCTTAATTTATAATCTAGCACATTTAGTTTGGGTGAATTGTAACATAAGTAGAAAGATATTTTTATTATTTTGCCGATACATAGGATAAACGGATCACTCATATCGATGTTTTATAACAACAAACAATATACATTATTGAGCGATCTGTGCCTACAACCCTACAATAACCACAGATTAGTAATATGTAGTGAATATGTAGCAACCCTTAATCTGTGGTTGCAACAATAGTGACAATAACCTTGAATTTGATTTGAACGAACGTACTTATTTGCAAAAATGTCATTGATATTATCATTTTATATGATATCAGTAGATCCTGTTTAAAAATTAAAGGTTAAACTTCAAACCATCGGACGCTATCATATTATTGTAGATTATCTAGGTGTATTTACCCACCCATAAGTTGTTTCTCAAGAAGAAGAAGTCGAGTTGTTATTTATAAATTGGAGATATTAAAAGCAAGTTTCAAATGGTCAGTATTCTTCAATAAAAAGAAAGGTGGGTGCTAAGCTACAAAACCAAAGAAATTGGTTTTATTTATATATGATATACATAAATTAGAGATTCTAATAGCAATAAACTTAGCTTCTCTAGCACCTACCTTTAAATGTGTTGCTGCCATACAAAAAATATATATAAATAAATTTTACTAAATATGTTCCAGGAATCTCGGGCTTTTGACCAAATATTGGGAATAATATTGAATTTTATGTTCCCTATCAAAATGTTATTAAGAACTTATTCTTTAAGCATCTTGATGATTGACATAGTGTGGGTAGTGGTCAATGCAATATGTGCAGTTTTGCAGGCATCTTTTGAACTGTTTAGACCACCACCATTGAAGTCTGTCAGATTGGAGACTGCTCTGGTAATATTGATTGCTTCATATTTCATAATAATCTTAAAAAGAATGATTAAACATTCAATGTTTAACTTCAAATCAAGGTTGTATTTCACTATTTACTAAAATTAAAAAAGATAAATGGTTTTGAAACCACTTTTTATTAATAGTTTTATGGCTTTAGAATAAATCCATACAACCACTTCTTTATTAAAAAAAAAACTAAATTAAACTTTTATGTTGATTGAATTTTGTAGGAATTATTATGTAAAATATGTATTAAATAAAATTTCAGGTTATCGGTTCCGGTAGAGGGGTGGGCCGTGATATCGCAATCCAGTTAGCAAACCTAGGGGCTATAGTAATTTGTGTTGATAAGAATAAAAGGAATAACCAGGAGACTGTTGATATTATCAAGAAGAAAGGAGATTCTGCTGTCAGTTATATTTATGATATAACTTCAAAAGATAATGTAGAAAACTTAGCAGCACAGATAAAAAAAGATTTAGGCTCTGTTACTATGTTGTTTTATTGCTGTGGGATACCTAGTCCAAGATCATTGCTGACTCAACCACCATTTGATATACATGATACATTGGATCTCACATTGACTTCATATTATTGGGTAAGTTAGTAATCTGTTGCCAATATTTGGTTACAACAAATGCACTTTTTATAGACATTTGTTCTTTTTTTAAGATAAGATTTAAGTTAAGTTATATAAATGAAACTATTTAAAAGTTTTTTCTTGTAATCTGTACTTCTTGTTTTATGTAATATAATCATTGTTTTAAATTAATTTTTAAGACACATCAATCTATCTATAATGTTGCTATAAATAACTGTTTTATTGGTAGTATTTTGGGTTTGCAGTTGATTGATCAATTTATGCCTACTATGAAAGCAAAGAATCATGGGCATGTGGTGGCACTAACATCTGTTGCTGGATTAAGTTATATCAAAGATCAGATGCCCCTAAGTGTAGCACAGTTTGCAGTCCAAGGCTTGGCAGAGTCATTAATGGAAGATCTTAGAATTAACAAAATTGATGGTGTCCATGTCACTCTTGTACATATTTATCCATTTATTGTCAACGATGATACCACAGATTTGAGACTGAGGTAAGTTTTAATAAATTTTAATTAAGTAATTTAACAATTCATATTTGTTACATAGGGATATTATGAAATCATAGTTTTAATTATATTTAAATTTCCTTTACCCTCTAGACTCACATTTCATCCGTCATCAAGTATGGCCGACAATAATACTGATGAAATGGGGGTCGTGATGGAAATTGAATACATTACATATTTGATTTACATTATACTTTTTTAATTTTGAATTATGATATTTTAGTGTATTGTGTATCGATGGTGCAGTAGATAAGCGCCGCGGCCCGCGATCGATGTTGTTAAGTAACTTTCGCAAGGGTTGATCGCGGGATGGGTGACCAATAATTATTATCTTGAGCTATTCTGTGTTGTATGTGTGTATGTCACACGTCTTACGCATGTAATATCGAATGTAAAGATGCCATTGGACGTTAAAAATAATGAACAACTGATACACATTTCCACTTACGATTTCATTCAAAATTAGGTTTCGATATAGCTGTTTCTTCGATATCGGTATGTTAGGGCGTCTATATTTCGATTTGTATAGATTTTTCGAGTTATTTTTGCATCCTTAATGATGAGTGTATTCTGTACTCACACTACTGTACTGGTTTTTCTAGAATCCCAAGTTATTTTGGAACAATAACATCGAGCCAAGCAGCCTCCAGTATACTGGAGAGTGTGAGACGTAACTACCCCGAGGCTTCAGTACCGAAGCACCTGCTGTACCTCGGTCACCTACTGCGAATCCTACCGCGGAAGGCGACCGTCCTCATCAGGGATCTGCTCGATACCGGAGTAGACTTCGCATGACATGCACATGTCAGTGTAATAATATTATTGTAATGTAAAGGCGTAGGAATTATAATATGTGTGACAGCCTTTACTGCACCAAAAATAATCAATGGCCACATAAATCCTTTTTATATCTAGTTTTGTATTTCCAAATATTTCTTTTTTAGTTTAACCAAACTAAAACTGATTTTGTTTTGTACAGTAGAAGCTCCTTAGTCACGGCATTATTATTTCACCCGCAAATAATGAAAACGCGAAATTGTAACACAATATCTGTACTCGCGGCTAAAATCGGTTCATTCGCGGATGCAATCGGTAACATAGACAGATTCATCATCTTCATCATCATCATCATCATCATCATCTTTTACAAACTTCGAGCATGTGTTAAGGTGGTTTCATTGTAGCATTCATAAAATACTTGAAAAAAGCTATGTTACGAATGCTACAGCCACTTAGCTATGAATCTGAATTTAAAGATCTTTGTAAAGGGGATAATTAATAAAATCTCTAAAAACCTTTATTTAAAGCTGACAATGCAAATTAATTTTAGTTGTTAGTTCCTCAAAAATATTAATATTAAAAATCCTTATAACTTAATAAAAATCTTCAATTGCATATATTGCCAACCCATATTCGCGTTTTCTGTATTCGCGGCATATTCATGGAACGTATTCTCGCGGAGAATAAGGCGCTTCTACTATATATACATTTCATATGTACTTTTATCTGTGGGGGAGGTTAAATGAAATTGTCCTGTAAAATGATACAATGTGATATGCTTTTTTATTCATGGAATATGTGTGAAGAGGAATTGTTACAAGACCATAGAAAATAAATTAATATTGAATGTTAGTATCAATTGACTACAGTTTCCAATACTATTGATAAAAATAATAAAAGTAAAATAATTTATTTAATTTATTAATCTAAAAACTAAAGCTATTATATTACTGCCATAATTGATTTTGTTAAATTTTGTAATAGAAAATTGTTGTAAATGATAAGAATAATAGTATAAGTATATATATTCTAATTGAGGCCATAAGTGTTTTCATATTTGTACTTATGTATTTAAATTTCTTGAAAACTTAATCAATTGTGAACCCTATTTTCAAATAGGGATGGGCTTACATCAAATTTTATTATGTTTTAAATTCTTTTTTATAAAAAGTTAACAGTTTTTTTATAATAAATTGTGGGTTAAATCATCTTTGCGCTGACGGCCTCAATTATCGGTTGGAATATTGAATTTAATAATTACGGAATTATATAATAATTTGAACAGAATAGGCTAGTTGACAACTTTTTTTTTATTTCATAAATAAATAGTCCATTAGCATCTGAGAAATAATGTCGAAGTAACAGCATGTCTGCGATTAATAGTTTCGGAGATACGGTGCTGTGTTTGTAGAACTGCTGCTAGTTGGCCGAAAACATTCCCTACAAATTCAAGGCACTCAGTGACATCACAGGGTGCTACAGTAGCGAAAAATGCATGGGCGTCTAGACATTTTTTGTAATATCTTTGTTATTTGTGCATTTATGTATATAGCTGTTATAATGAAAGTTGTAACATTTTTTATATCTAATTTAATGCCTTATGTATTTTAGCAAATTTTTGTAGTAGATTTTCTCTACTTTTTTCAAGTTTTCAAAGCGTAATATTTTCCAAATCAGTGACTTAAAATTTGTTTTGTTAAACATTTATAACTTAAAATGGTTCATATTTTTCAAAGATATAATAAAAACCTGTATTTTCACTTGTAGGACACAAGCCTATTAAGAGAAAGTAAAAGTACCAAAAGAGGCTGGTAACCTTGTGATTAAATGTAATATTTTTATGATAATCTTTATTGTGACTAAGACTGATGCAACAAACTGTCTTCCTAATGTTTGTAGTTTTAGGATTGTGAAAAGTTTAATACTATTTCTAAAATGCATTTATTATCAAATATTAAAATTAAATATTTTTCAGTAAAGTTATGCAGTTGTTATTTATGGATGATAAACACCAATAACAGGAAAACAAGAAGATAAAGGAACAAACTGTTCAATCGGCGGCCTTATCGTTAAAAAGCAATTTCTTAGTGAAACAATTTATGAAATATTTTAAAGTATAAATAATCTTATTCAAAAGAAGTGCTAGGGCTATGTTTGCATTTTCATTTTTAGAATCAATCAAAACGATTTTAGAGCTATTAGCTGTCGGAGAGTATTTAAAAAAAATAGTTCCCAAAATCAAACTAGATGTCGCTACACTATGCTCTTGATTTCTCCATGACAACCCTTCTGGTTTTCGTTCATATTTAAAAGTAAATTAGTTTTCAAAGCTCAGTAAACAACTCAGATTCTATTTGTACTTTTTCGTATTTGTATTGATATCTAAGATCCGAATTTTTCAAAATTAACTTTTTTAATATGTTCGTTAAAAGATACGGAAACGACTGTTCAAAAATCAACTTTTGCTAAAGTCGCCATCTAGTGGAGATGCTTTTTTAGTGCTTCCTTATTTCTAAAGCGTTTTTTTAGAAGCTTCTGCATTTTTATTAAGTTTTCCGTAGCCAGGGTCCAATAAAAAGAGCAGGGCAACAAGAGCGGCTCCAACAATTTTCCCTTTACAGCATAAATAACAAACATAGCCCGTAAAAGTTGATTTGTGAAAGCATAACAATCTCCTTGGTCTGTGACAAATATCGTTACGCTGACTATCGTCGGGAGACGTAATGATTACATTTCTAAACGAAGCAAAAGTATTGCCAATTTTAAAATTAGATGATAACAAGTTTGATTTTTTGTTTTTATGGAAACCAGTAATATAAAATTATTTCGGGAACGGAGGAAGAGGTGATGTTTATTTATTACTTAGATTTTTAAAAAACTCGTTAATATTTACTTTATGAAATTTTTTTATTTCCAAACGTACATTAAATGAAACGATATTTACGCATGGTAAGATTTGAAATATCAGTTTGTTGTCAAATGTAGAACGTAACTAGCGCCACTACAGCTATTCATTGCAATCGGAGGCAAATTGTTTTCGTGCTGTGTTTTTAGTCGAAACAAAAACAAATTATAAAGATACTTTAATATCTAAAAGAAAAGTGTCGTTGTTTGTAATGTGATTGTAAGTATATTATCGAGTGCAATTTGCTAAAGTCGGTGTCTGGCGGAAAACATTGAAGGTAAGCTGTTGTTTGATCCATATTTTTCAGTCACCGACAGCGACATACTCGATCGATATTATAAAACTAATAAATTATCGTTTCTAAATATCACTATCTAACATATTATTGAATTTTGGAACCGGCATTTGTCGTTTTCTATTTATTTTATTACTGACCCATTTAGAAAACGAAATCTTATAAGACTTAGTCCCGTTGCTGTTTCACATCGGTAGTCTGGCACGGTTTACGCAATTAGTTCGATGAGGTTTCTCCAACGTCGAATATAGGACTCTCTGAACTGGTTTTGCGGAACTTGCGGTCGAAATTCAACACCTTTATAATCAAAAGGTGCAATGTGCAAATAAACAGCTAGAGTTTCCCATCTTTCGTTTTGCAACTACACAATTTTAGTAAACTGTAATAAATTATCCAAATAAATATTAGAAGAGGAAGGTGACTGACATACCCAGAGATCAACACACAGCCCAAACTGCTGAATTTGAAATTTGGTGAGTAAGTTCCTCTTATTACGTTTAGGAGTTTTAAGAACGGATTTTTAGAAATTCCACCCCAAAGAGGGGTAAAAAGGGTGAAAGTGTTTATATGAAACTTCTTTGTTTTTGGACCTATATTGATGAACTTGGCACTAGCAACCATTTTTGACTAATTTTAGCTTTATCATTGTAATAATTTTTTCTAATATTATTCATAAAGATTTACAAATTTGGTGTTAAAAATTAGTATAAATAATACATAATATAAAACATAAATTACATTTTAAATTTACAATTTTAAATATGAAAGAAAACAACTTCTTGCAAGATAGTGTTAAGTATATTCTACATCGATTGCACTGTTTTGGTTAAGGTTGAGTTTTAAAACAAAATGTGGTAAGAACTTGGTGTAATCTAAAATGTAAGATTTCGATGGTGTAGTCATCTGCGATACTGTTGTTAAACTTTCCAAAGGTTACACACTCACTCCTATACACTAAAAAAAGATTTTAAATAAAATATGAGTTACTTTATATTGTGATAAAAGGTTTGAAATAGGGAATCAAAATTATTCGGAATCAATATTTCGTTATTGTCTTAGATAAAATCATGAAACTTTATATTCAGGTATTTTGCACAATATAATGAATAAATGTTTTTAGCATTTTTTAAAAATTCACTATACCTATTATGTGGAAGAAGTTGAAGGCAAAAGCTAGTTAAGTATAATCTTATCCTAAATCTGCTACATTTCATAATAAAGTAATTTAATTTCATAATTTATTATGTGTAAATTCAATCTACCTTTTTATTAAATTCTGTATATTTACTACCCTTTGTTTTTGATATTAAGTTTAATAAATGACTGTAGTTTAAAAAATATGATAATGTTCTTGCATCCACTTACCACCGGTCTCACCCACCATGTACGTTTGAGACCATACCGTGGACAAATGCGGGCATTCAAAACGTCAGCTCATGCTTTACAAACATGAGTGGAAGGAAGGTACATGGACGTAACTGAAATATGCACTTACGCCGAAATATAAACAAAAAATAAATCTACGGTGTCTGAGAGAACGGTGGTAAGTAAGTGGTTATGATAATTGGAATAATATTTTTTTCTTATTTTCTGATTAATGTTTTCCTAATGACAGAAGGCATTAGCGGTCCGTAATTTATTGTTAATTTGATGGTGAAAGGCTGACATTCGCCGATTTAATCTTATTTATCCAATAATCGCAAGCAACGGTCGACGGAAATTTTCTTCTGATGATTTATTACCTACGTAAACTTATATTGTTTATTTTTTTACATTTCTTTGTAGTTTTATAAAACAAAATGTTTGAATATTAGTATCCAGATCTCAAAATATAAAGAAGCGCCGAGAGGAAAGGAAAATACTTAGCAACTAGGGCGCATCCATGTTATATCAAGCTTTTTTATCCTCAAGACGTCAATATAACATGAATACGTAGTATAATATTTAAATTAAATAACAA